GAGGCTGTCTGTGTGCACATGCACCCTCATGCACACAGACACATCCCACACATGTACACACACCCACGCACACACATGTACACACCCACATGTGTACACATGCCTGTACACATGCACCCCACACATGTACATGCCCCACACAATGTATACATACCCACATGCGCACCCCATGCACACACACATATGCATGCCACACACATGTACACACCCCACATAATGTATACATACCCGCATGTGCACAAGCATGCATGCTGTGTAACAGATGCACACATGCAAGTGTTGGGGAACCTGGCCCTGCCCTCTTGTCCCCAGAAGAGCAGGGGTTCTGCTCCCCTGAACTCACCAGCTCCCCTCCCAGCCCGAGCCCCCGCCTCCCACCTCCAGGGCCCAGTAGCAGGCTCACCTGGGGCAGCAGGGAGCTGAGGCAGGGAGGGGAGGGCAGGGCAGGGAGGGCAGGGGCATGGGGGTGAGCCGGGTGCCCTGGGGCAGGGAGGGGCATGGGGTGAGCCGGGTGCCCTGGGGCAGGGAGGGGCATGGGGTGAGCCAGGTGCCCCTGGGGCAGGGAGGGCAGGGGCATGGGGGTGAGCCGGGTGCCCTGGGGCAGGGAGGGGCATGGGGTGAGCCGGGTGCCCTGGGGCAGGGAGGGGCATGGGGTGAGCCAGGTGCCCCTGGGGCAGGGAGGGCAGGGGCATGGGGGTGAGCCGGGTGCCCTGGGGCAGGGAGGGGCATGGGGTGAGCCGGGTGCCCTGGGGCAGGGAGGGGCATGGGGTGAGCCAGGTGCCCTGGGGCAGGGAGGGGCTTCTCCATTAGCCAGCCCCAAACCCTTCGTCCTGGAGCCACTGGGATGGCGGAGGCTCAGGCAGGATGGGGGGTGGGGCTCACTGTCACCCAGCTGATGGCCAGCGGGGCTCTGTCTCCCAGGGTGTCCCCAGGGCCACTTCGGGCCAGGCTGTGGGCGGCGCTGCCAGTGTGAGCACGGGGGCGCCTGTGACCATGTCAGTGGGGCCTGCACCTGCCCCGCAGGCTGGAGGGGGACCTTCTGTGAGCGAGGTGAGTGGGGCGGGGCCGGGGCCGGGCGGCCAGGCGTGGGGACGGGCCTGGTGACCTGGCCGGTCCCCGTCACTGCCCCCTCCCCCACCCTACCCCCCCGCAGCCTGCCCGGCCGGCTTCTTCGGACTGGACTGTCGCCACGCCTGTGACTGCGCGGCCGGGGCGCCCTGCGAAGCTGTGAGCGGCTCCTGCCTCTGCCCCGCTGGCCGCCAGGGCCCCCGCTGCGCCCAGAGTGCGTGAGGCCTGCCAGCCTGGGTGGTATGGGGGGCGGGGTGCTGTCACGGTGCCAGACTTGCTACCGGGGCCTGGCCTGGCTGTCCGGAGCTGCCAAGTGGCCACGCCGGCACACCGCTTGCCCACTAAGGCCAGCATGGGGGCCCCTGTTTGTGGTCCCCCTGAGTGATGCCCAGGCCAGAGAGGGGCACGGCGGCCACAGCGGCCCCGGGGCCCAGCTGCTCCTCCCAGGGTCTGTCTGCCCAGGCCCCTGACTGCCCTCTCCTGCAGCCTGCCCAGCCCTCACCTACGGGCACAACTGCAGCCAGGCCTGCTCCTGCTTCAATGGGGCTTCCTGCGACCCAGTGCACGGGCAGTGCCACTGTGGCCCTGGCTGGACGGGTCCCAGCTGCCTGCAGGGTAAGTCTGGGGTCCGGGTTGTGCTCCCTGCTCCTGGGTGGGTGCCAGGCTCACCTGAGGGCAGCAGGGTGGCTGGGGCCCTGGCACCCGGGGGAAGGAGGGA